GGGACACCCTGGGGACACCCTCAAGGCCCTGCCAGGACCCCCAGGGGGCTCGGGGACATTTCTGGGGACCCCCCCAGGGACCCTGGGCCACCCTCCCAAATCCAACCCTCCCTCAGAGACCCCAAAATCCTCCCAGGGACCCCAAACCCCTCACGGGGACCCCAAAACCCCTCACGGGGACCCCCAGGACCCCTCTCCAAATACCCCAGGACCCCCCCAGACCCCTCAAGGGGGTCCCTGGACCCCTCCCCAAATCCAACCTCCCCTCAGAGACCCCTAAACCCCTCCCAGACACCCCAAAACCCCTCATGGAGACCCCAAAACCCCCACAGAGACCCCAAACCCCCTCAGAGACCCCAAACCCCTCACAGACACCCCAAAAAACCCTCCTGGAGACCCCAAACCCCTCACGGGGACCCCAAATCCCCCTCAGAGACCCCAAACCCCTCATGGACACCCCAAAAACCCCTCAGAGACCCCAAAACCCCTCCTGGGGACCCCAAATCCCCCTCAGAGACCCCAAACCCCTCACAGACACACCAAAACCCCTCCTGGAGACCCCAAACCCCTCACGGGGACCCCCAGGACCCCTCCTCAAATACCCCAGGACCCCCCCAGACCCCTCACGGGAGTCCCAGGACCCCTCCCCAAATCCAACCCACCCCCACCCCAGACACCCCTAAACCCCTCATGGAGACCCCGAACCCCTCACAGGGACCCCAAAACCCTCACGGGGACCCCAAAACCCACTCAGAGACCCCAAACCCCTCACGGAGATCCCAAAACCCCTTACGGACACCCCAAACCCCCCTCAGAGACCCCAAATCTCCCTCAGAGACCCCAAACCCCTCACGGACACCCCAAAACCCCTCACGGAGACCCCAAAACCCACTCAGAGACCCCAAACCCCTCACGGGGACCCCAAAACCCTTCATGGAGACCCCAAACCCCCCTCAGAGACCCCAAACCCCTCCTGGGGACCCCAAACCACTCACGGAGACCCCAAACCCCCCTCAGAGACCCCAAATCTCCCTCAGAGACCCCAAACCCCTCACGGACACCCCAAAACCCCTCACGGGGACCCCCGGGACCCCTCCCCAAAACCCTCCCCCCTCAGGCCCCTCACGGGGGTCCCGCCGCCGGGAGCCCCGCGCGGGCTCCGGGGGGGTCCCGGGGCGGCCCCGGGGGGGGTCCCGGAGCCCCCCCCGCCCGCCAGGGCCCCCCCGCGCTCACCGGTCGCGTCCGTCACATAGGGCGTCGCCATCTTTGCGCCCCGGAAGTGACGCAACGGCGGCGGCGCGCGGGGGCGTGGCGCCGAGGGAAGGGGGCGTGGCCAGGCCTGGGTTATGCTAATTAGGGGGCGGGGCAAGATACAGAAGGCAGCACTGCTTATATGGTAATTAGGGGCGTGGCAATGTGTTAAAATGGAAATTAAGGGGCGTGGCCAGTGAGTAAAACGAATTTGCTATAGTGTAAGGGGCGTGGCCAGGTGTGGGGTTATGTTAATTAGAGGGTGGGGCTAAAATCAGAAATGAGCGATGCTTAATATGGAAATTAGGGGCGTGGTCATGCGTTAGAGAAATTAATGGGTATGGACAGTGGTGATGTTTAATTAATATGGAAATAAGGGGCGTGGTCATTGGATAAAATGGGAATTGGGTGGTATTTGAGGGGGTGTGGACATTGATGGATATGGTAATTAGAGGGCGTGGCTAAAAAGGAAATGAGCTTTGTTTAAGATAATATGTTGATAGGGTAATTAGTGAGTGTGGCCACTGAGTATATTTAAATAATAATGAAATTAAGGGGTGTGGTCATTGATTAAAATATGTGGGTGGTCAACGATGGATATGGAAATTAGAGGGCGGGGCTAAACGCAGAAATTAGCATTGTATATACGGTAATTAGAGAGTGTGGTCGGGAAATTAGTGGGTGGAGACACTGATGATATTTAAATAATATGGAAATTATGGGGCGTGGTGGAAAATGGGTACTGGGTGGTAGTTGGGGGTGTGGCCACTGAGAGATATGGAAATTAGGGGGTGTGGTAATGTGTTGATAGGGAAATCAGTAGGTGGGGACATTGATGATATTTAAATTATATGGAAATTAAGGGATATGGTCATTGGGTAAATTGTGTGGGTGGTAGTTGAGGGGGTGTGGCCATTGGTGGATATGGAAATTAGAGGGCATACCCAAAATAAGGACACGGCCTTTAATTAATATGTAAATTAGAGGGTGTGGTCACTTGGTGGTGTACAAATAGTGGAGATGATAATGAATATGGAAATTAAGGGGTGTGGTCACCCCAAACCCCCCCAGGACACCCTCAGACCCCCAACCCCCCCCCCCAAAATCCCCC